TCTGCATGTGTATATATGTTTGTGTATGTATGTATATATATATATATATATATATATATATATATATATATATATATATATATATATATATATATATATATATATATATATATATATATATATATATATATATATATATATATATATACATATATATATATATATATATATATATATATATATATATATATATATATATATATATATATATATATATATATTTATGCGTGTGTGTGTGTGTATACATATATATGCATACAGATAAATACAAACATACATGCTAACAGTCATAATATGATGATTAAAAATATTACATCAACCTGGCATAACAAGAATAATTTGACGTAAATATCATCAACAGTGTAATATATACCATAAATACCAATGTTAGCGTTAAATTTATGAAATCAAACCTCATAACTCTAGCAGAACAATGCATAATGATGTTAATTATATCACATTAATTATGACATTAATCATATGGTATTAAGATTTATCACTTTAATATACTATTTCAAAATGCAGTTAATGTATTTTTCTGTGTATTTGATTAATTTCATCATTATTTACTAAACCCTTTCTTTATAGCTATATATTACCATTACCAATGCAATCTTTACTTATATCTACATTGATTAACCGACAGCTCCTACGAACCTAAATTACCAATTAGATCTTCTAATTAATGTCTCTATTAAAGTCCTCGTGTACTTCTTCACCGTACACTGCTAGCAACTAGCAAGCAATAACCATTAGCTAGCAACTTCTATCAATCACAAACAGTAATAATTCTCATTCAACACTTCGCAATGCAAGCACACGGTTTATTCGGTCCAGATGCAAGCAGTACCCTCTACCTCGCTATACTCGGGTGGCTAAGGGTCTGCATTCATTCCAAGCACGACTATCTATGGTTTTATTGAACGATATTTCTCTTTAAACTACTTGGTGATCAGGTTAAACCCAGCATTTAACCAATTGAGTTAGATCAAATCTCTAAAGAATTCCTCGTAACTATTTTATTTTTTATTTTTTTTTATATTCCATACTCTAGCAAGCGGGACTCAGATCCTTAGAGAAAACAATAATGAAAATAATAAAATCAAAAAATTAAATGGCGTCTACATGAACAGGAAGCCATTTTTGTCGTCACCTGGTCGGATGGTTCTGGAAGAGGAGGCGAATCTGGTGGAACACAAACCTCCACCACATGTGCTTCTAAATCTCGCCCCTATGCGTAGAAGAAAAAAAAAGGAAGAAGAAGGAAATCAAAACGTGAAAGTTCGACCAAAATTTTGAGAAAAGGAGAGGAAGAGGAAGAGGTGTAAATCAAAGGGGAAAAAAATTGTGACGTAAGGGAAATTTGAAACAAATAAACAAAATAACCCAAAAGGATAATAGTAAAAATAAATAAGAGGAAAAGGAAAGTTAATGCAACTACTGTAGAAATTACCATTACATCCACAGCAGCTTGTAAATTCCATGTCAGCATCTCTCTTTAACGAAAGGTGAAGCAAACAATCTATCAAGGTTAAAATAGTAATGAGGAACTACCGCTATGAACGCTTATCAGGCACAACAGCATTCTACGATGTGCTGAGCCATTAGTCGACTTGCAGAACGACAGAAACGATAAAATGACATCTGATATCACAGTTGAAATCTCAGTATTCTGTCGAGAAAGTAAAATGAGAGAAAAAATGGAGAAAAAAAATCAGTTCACATCTTCATACTTGAGATTCTATGTTGTGGAAAAAAAAGACAGTAGCTGGCACAAACACTCTTCAGAAAGCTACAAAAAAGATCTTAAAAGAAATAAAAAACAGAGCAAGGACAAAACCAAAGGAATACTTGATAAATAACATTTTTCTTTCAATTTCCCCCTCCATTTTATCCCCCACTAAAAGTTGGTGGCGTGACCCCATGGAACTGAGGAGTCAATTTCCAAAGTCAACACAAGAAGTTCAACATGTCAACACAGATTAAACGGATTTAAGATGAAAGCAGAAGTGTGGAAAGCTAGCGAGGTTCTAGACACAGAATATGGCTTAGGTCTCACTACGCTCTCGCTCTCTCTCTCTCTCGCTCTCTCTTTTGGCCTTGTCACAGAATCTTTTTGCTTTCGTGTATGTTTAAATGTGTGTGTGTGTGTGTATGTGTGTGTGTGTATGTGTGTTTATTTTTTATATTAACCCACTGACGACGGGTACATATCCTGTCCACTATATTTTTTTTGTGAATTTTCTTGCACATAGATGGCTCTACAAGTACTGTTAATTAATTAGTAGGCCCTCAGCGAAATTTCGATTTTTTAATGTTAATAATATCGATCCTATTACTATCATTATTGACCCTACGATTATTATATCAAAATAATAGTTAAATATAATTAAGAGGGATCTCTGAAAGTCAAGGAAAGCGGTAAAACAAGTGAGATAGATGACTTATTATGTTATAACTTATGAAGTTATGTATGTTCGTAAACAAAATTAATACACTACAATCACAGTGGACATGATATATACACCATGCCATCCCAGCACATTGGGTTACAAGGTCTGGTCCCATGTATAGGCATGCATGTAAGTACATAGCTACACATCTTCCCTCTTCATATGCTGTCTCAGAGCATCTTATTTTGGCAAGTATTCTAGTCTATAATAAGTTTTCATCAATTAAAAGCTGTCTCCTCTTTCACGTCGAAAGCAGTGTGCTAGAAAGTGTTAATAGTATTCCTCTAAGGCATAAATACATTCTTTTGTCATAATATGGTGTTTCTCAGTTTAAAAGGAAATAATCCAGAAAGCATAAATTTCAGTTAATAAGGTTTTTGTTTTTACTTGCTGGCATTTTCTATAATTTAAAATATGTTTTTTTTTCTGTGACACCTTCTGTTTTCTATGTCTGTTTATATAGTTGGATTTTTTTTTTGTTAGCACTTTTGTGTCTCTCCCTCTTCTAATTCATCCCTCATTATTTTATTCTCTCTCTCTTTCTTTCTTCCCTCTCTCTCTATCACCTCTCTTCCCTCTCTCTTTCTCTCTTTCTTCTCTGTCACTCTGTCCCTCCCTCTCTCTCTCTCTCTCTCTCTCTCTCTCTCTCTCTCTCTCTCTCTCTCTCTCTCTCTCTCTCTCTCTCTCTCTCTCTCTCTCTCTCTCTCTCTCTCTCTCTAATAATCCCCGCCTCTAATACTTCCTCTCGAAAAATAATAGTAATGTTACAGAATGTCTTCACTAACAGAGAGAGAAAAAAATCGCGTTTCGGCACTGACACACTGAACTACCTCAGGGAGACAGGGAGAGTATGTATGTATATATATATAAGCTTCCACAAACGTCAAACGCTCTAATGAAGCGAAAACTGATGGTGGGTCTAGCCATGCTCTACAGTAGGAGGGTTGTTAGCGAGACACCTTTCTTTATAAGATGTATCACCTCATCAAGATCATCGGGTGTGGTCGTTGCTGTTGGGTCCACGCCGTCAAGCCATGGTTCGAGATCGGCCACTAGCTAAATGGTGCCAAGGAAAACATGGTGCACGTGTTATTATTTCGTCTGCTGGTACTCACACATGAAAGGGCCTTATGACCATGGTTTTATGTGTAAGATATGGATTGAATTAATCTATTTTTTTCATATTGAAGGGGCCTTAAGACTGGGTTTTACATGCAAGATATGGACTGAATTACTTTTTTTTTATATTAAGGGGCCTTATGACCGTTGTTTTATATGTAAGATTAGGACTAACTGACTTATAACAGGGAGTAGCTATTGGTGGCAAGGGAAAATATGGTCACGTGTCATTTTTACACGTTATATTGTAAGAAATGACTACTTAATTTGCTTTTTCTTCTAAAATGGGGAGTTACTTTTAATTCTGTATCACTTTAGTTGTTCATGTATTTTTTTTTCAATGGATTTTTTTTTGTCTTGTTTCCAACCCAATTTTATGTCTAGTATTTATTTGATGATGCTCTTTTTTGTGACAAATTCTCCGCCTACCCCCGATCCCCAGGAAATGTATCGCAATTAATAATAACAATAATTATAATAATGATAACAATTATAATGATGATAATAAAAATGATAACAATTATAGCAATAATAATGAAAAACATGATTAGATAACAATTACAATGATAATAGCAATAATGATAATAATAATAATGGTAATGATAGTGATAGTGATGATAACGATGATGATGAGGATGATGTGATGATGATAATGATGATGATGACGGTAATATTAATAGTAAGAATAATAGCAATATCATTACTTTACTATTACCATCCTTATTATTGCTATTGACAGCAACACATAATGATAATAATAACAAAAGTGATAATAATAATAATGTAATAGTAATGATGAGATACTAACACCAATGATAATTGCAATGATAATCAATGATAATATCAAAATTAATAATAATAATTATAACAGAACTGGTGATAAATAATAAAAAATAATAATGATGATAATGATAATGTTAATACTAATGATGATGATGATGATGATGATGATGATGATGATGATGATGATGATGATGATGATGATGATGATGATGATGATGATGATGATGATGATGATGGTGGTGGTGATGATGATGATGATAATAATAATAAGCATAATAACAACAATAATAAATATCATAATATTACCAATACCAACTATAATGAACTAGGCCCTATGACACTAGAACTTTTTCCTTCATTTTTTCCCGTTTGCTTATGAACTTTCCGCATGCAGATGAACTGACCCAATCACACTACAAAGGCAACTTATATAGTACCCATGTAAACAAACGTGAGGTCACGGAGATAACATGAGTATTCTCATGCATACTACGTTATTTTAAAGAAATATAGTCATGTATTGTGTACAGAAATATTATAAAAGGCTAAATTATATTTGAATTGACTTATTCTATTTTATTTATCAATAAGAAAGCATTCCAGATGTATAGATCCGCCACAGCACAAGATTGAGACGGAAATTAGTCAGACAGGAACTATCGTCTTTATCTGGGAGGCGTTCTGAATATGTTCTAACTTCTGATACGTTCAGAAAACCTCAAAGTCACACGGAAATGCAAACAAATAGACGGTAAAAGTAAAAGTGTGATAGGGCCTTTTTAAGGTGTAAAAAAAAACAAAAAACAAAAATCAAATACTAAGTCCCCACAACCACAGTTTTCCCTCACGTCTAACTGTGTCACCTCCACCTGCTCTGCTGGGGTGGTGGCCGCAGAGGGATCCCAGTCCTCTCGCTGGAAGTCAACGTCACCATTCTAGTATATCGATCCGGAAAGATAAACGTGGGAGAAGAGGAAAAAAAAAAGAAATGAAAAGGAGAATGGGTTGAAGCTATGTTTTCCTGTGTGGTCAAAGTTTACTTGTGGAGGTCGACGAGATTGTAGATGTAAGTATAGGAAATAAAAAAGATGTGTGTGTGTGTGTGTGTGTGTGTGTGTGTGTGTGTGTGTGTGTGTGTGTGTGTGTGTGTGTGTGTGTGTGTGTGACTGTGTGTGTTTGTGTAGTGTATCCATTGTTGTTTTTTTCTTAAAAAAAGTACCTTTCGGGTATATCTAAATTCTCGCATATACAAACTAACTGAAACAAAATAAGGTAGTATAAATACTTGCACCTACATGTGGCAAAATTTCCCTCGTCTCTCATTCTTTCGGTCCTTTTATAAAGCATTCCTTTCTACTCTCTCTCTCTCTCTCTCTCTCTCTCTCTCTCTCTCTCTCTCTCTCTCTCTCTCTCTCTCTCTCCCACACACACACACACACGCGCTATACTTGAACCCATACACGCCTAAAATCTCTGATAGCATCAAAAGTACATAGACAGCAGTTGCCACAGTATTTCAAAAAGTATACGTATCATAAAATTTCATCCATAAACATCAGCTTGAATGCTTTCTAAATTCACACAAGTAAAATATATGTATATAAAAAAATAACAAAATAGCATTAGAGAAGCAATATATATATATATCGAAACTAATCTTACACAAAAAATAAGAACATGTGTATATAAATATATATATAATACTCTTTTCTTTATATTTTTATCAAAACCTAGACTTGTCATGCCACTAAAAAGGAAGAAGGGTTTACTAATAAATTCTACGCTATTGAGATTGTCACCTCTTCATAGGCCTCTGGTGTTGTTGCTGCTGATTGCACTAACTCCTCCTGTGTAAGCAAAGAAGACCACCTACACTACACAACGGGTTGAGTTTGGACTTTGGATATTTTTTAATGTCTTTTTTTTTTTTTTGTCTTTTTTTGTGTCTCACGCAAAGCAAAATAAGTAAGGTAAGTTATCACAGAAGGAAAGTAGTTATTATATATATGTATATATATATTGTTAGGGGGTTAGATTGGTAAATTAGGAGGAATTGGTGGATAAAAAAAAAGTCTTCTTTCAAACTCTTTTTTTTGTACATTATACTATGACGTGTTTAGTGGACTGGAAGAGGTTAAATGAAACGATAAAAAAAATCTATAAAAAACAGTGCATCAACAATGATACTCCAAAAATTACTGTGAAAGTTTAAACAAAAATATATATATGTCCAAAATTAACAAAAAAATAAAATAAAATAAAATAAAAAATAAATAAGTGCATAAAACCAAAACAAACCAAAATAATTTATTCACGAATTCACAACATGCAGACCATACCTCCTGATTGGAGACATCGGGACTAGACACCAACTCCGCGTACTGCTGGTCCTTCTCGGTCGTTTCGCTTTCGGGGGAAGAACTGAACTGCCGCGAGTAGAGCTCCTGCTGCGTTCCGCTCAGCTCCAGCTCGAAGTTCGGTTGGTCGAAGTTCGATGGTGCTGTGCGAATAAGAAAGAATTTAAGTAAAGAGATAGGAAAAAAAGGGGAGTTACCATAGTCGGCTTTAGATATCTTTACATCTTCTAATCGTTAGCATATTCGATTTAAGATATTTGAACATCATCTAAGCAAGTTATGATGAAGATGTAACTCCATAACAAACAAACAAAAAATCAAAAGTTTTCTTATTCCTCCCTTTTCATTCCCACATTATCCGTTCCTTCACCTCCCTCTTTTTCCTCCCCAAGTACCCACTTTCTTTCGACGGTTCCTCGGGTTTCTCAGCCGCCTCCGCCGCGGTCTCCACCTCCGGCGTCGGCTGAGTGATAATGACGCGTTCCGGCGGCAGGAGGAAGCCGGGAACCTCAGGAGGCGTGTGGGGGGGCGGGGTCGTGCACGGCGAAGCTCCAGAGACGGCCTGGAACGTGAACACCTGGAGAGCGCACGAAAGGAAGGGAACAATCAAGATTTCCCTATGATCTGCTGCGCTTTTTTTTTTGATCGAGGTGGTGGTGGTGGAGGAAGGAGGTGGAAGGAGGTGGAAGGAGGAGGAAAGAGGAAGGAGGAGGAGGAGGAAGGGGAAGGGAGGAGGAGGAAGAGGGGGAGAAGGAGAAGGAGGAGGAGTCGAAGAGGGAGGAAAGTGGGAGAGGGAAGGAGAAGGAAGAAGAGGAGGAGAAAGAGGGAGGAAGCGGAGAAGGAAAAGGGGAGAGGGAAGGAGGAGGAAGAGGAAAAAAGAAGAAAAAGAGGAGGAGGAACAGGGAAGGGAATATGGGGTGAAGGAAAAGGGAGGGAAAGGAAGAGGATATGGAAAAGGAGGCAGAGGAAGGTTGGGATACTCCAAGTCACGAAAGTTACAAGTAGATACCAAAAATCTACAAGCGTGAAGTCGCTTGGCAAGAAAATGCGAAATGCTATTGTGCTAAGTGGAAAAAGGCAAGAAAAATTCATGTGTACAATACATACATACATACATACATATATATATATATATATATATATATATATATATATATATATATATATATATATATATATATATATATATCATACACAATTATTTGAAAACATGACCATAGCACATTTCAATTTCTACCAATAACAATAGCAAAAAGCAAGAATACCAGTAAAAAAGATGTTGCAAAAATTCCATTTCCCTATGGGTACACATTTAGAGGTTCAAGAATACATATGCTGAATAGATAGACAAATAGACAAGGAAGATGCCAGGCAGACTGATAGATGGAGAGTTGATAGCATATATACTGACAGATACATGGAATTATAAAAATATCTGAATACAAGATACAGATTATATATATTTGTATATATATATATATATATATATATATATATATATATATATATATATATATATATATATATATATATATATACATATATACACATATGTGCGTGTATTTGCGCATGTAAATGTACATACATGCATACATACATTCATACACATATACATATTTAAATATGTATATATATATATATATATATATATATATATATATATATATATATATATATATATATATATATATATATATATATATATATATATATATATATATATATATATATATATATATATATATATGTGTGTGTGTGTGTGTGTGTGTGTGTGTATACATACACATTTATGTATGTACATGTATACAGTATATATATACATATACATACATACATACTGTGTATACTTATAAGAATATACTATATATATGTATGTGTGTGTGTGTGTGTATGTGTGTGTGTGTGTGTGTGTGTGTGTGTGTGTGTGTGTGTGTGTGTGTGTGTGTGTGTGTGTGTGTGTGTGTGTGTGTGTGTGTGTGTGTACACATAATCTATGTTTCTATAAAAATACCATTTCCACACATAATAACACCAGCCTACTTTTTCTATACTAATAAAAAATAAAAAATAGAAAATTTCCTGAAAATTCTTGTCAATGACTTTTCTCGCACTCACCAAAAACAAGCACTTCTCTACAAACAGAAAATCACTATTGTAGATATACGTTAACACACATACATGGTTGCTATTACAAATTACAGTTGTCTGGTTTCGGCTGAAATCCTAATAATATACATGAAATTGATATCATTCCCTATTCGTTAAATCTCTCTCTCTCTCTCTCTCTCTCTCTCTCTCTCTCTCTCTCTCTCTCTCTCTCTCTCTCTCTCTCTCTCTCTCTCTCTCTCTCTCTCTCTCCTACCTATTTTATTGTTCTCACTCAACTACTCCTTTTACTCTCTCTGTCTCTCTTTCTCCCTCCTTCCCTCCCTCTCTCTCTCTTTCCTGCCTTCTTGTTACCTCCTTTAGAAATTACGAAAATACAGCGCCATTCAAGCGATAAGAATGATAGTAAGTCACAAAGGCGGAGAACAAGAGCTAGCACCACTGGCCTGCCTTATACACCGACATGCTATTGTACATAATCCGTGAGCCAAACGAAGCGAGATTGTCCATTTCAAGCGCAATATAAAAAAAGTATGATAATAATCAAATGAATAGATAACAAGAGGAATCATAACTCTTTTGAACAAAAAAAATGAAAAATCGAAAAGAGATTAGAACGTCACTGAGATCTTCCATTTCTTATAGAGATATAATAATAAATTATTAAAAAAAATAAGAATGAAAATAAAGACAAGAAAAAGTTTTTGACTCCACGTCACATTAACCCGTCCAGCACGAGAGGACACGAATAACACAGACACACACACACTAAAAAAACAAACAAAAAAATAACAACACTCGACTTACATCTGGCGTGAGTGGTTCTCCATCGGAACGACACTCCTCCACCACCAGCGAGGGGAAGAGTCCCACCTGGCCATCCACCTCGCCTTCCCACCACCCGTCATCCACATCATGCACGGCCCGCTTGAGGATCTTGATCAGCTGACCCTCGAAGAAGGTGATCTCCTCAGGACATGTAGCTTCGTAGTCGTACACAGCAATGCAGTACTCGGCGACTGTGGGTGGGGATTGAAAGAGGGGGGGTGGTGGGGTTAAGGGTGGTTGGGGGTAGGAGGATGTAGGGTGGAGGTGGGGGTTGGAGGTAGGAGCGGTTGGGGGATGGAGGAAGTGGAAGGGGTGGAAGGAGTGGTAGCGGGGATAGTGAGGGTTGGAGGTGGAGGGGGTGGGAGAGTGGAGATAGGATAGTGAGGGATGGAGGAGGTGGGGACGGTGGGGGTTGGAGGAGGTGGTGGGGGTGGAGGGGGTGGTAGCGGGGATAGTGAGGGTTGAAGGTGGAGGGGGTGGACGTGGTGGTGGGAGAGCGTAGATAGGATAGTGGAGGATGGTGGAGGTGATGGAGCGAGAGGTGAGGGGGGTGGAGGCAGTGGAAATGAAGGTGGATAGAGGAAGAGAGAGTGGGAAAAAAGGCTTTAAGTAATGACTCCTGATCCTTTTATCATCCACGGAATTATATTATCATCATTACTATTACTATCATTATTGTTACCATTCTCACCATTGTTACATTATATAATCTTTATTACTACTACTACCATCATTATTATTGGTATAACCATTTTACTTAATACTATCATCATCAAAATTACTGTCATCATTGTTATTACCATTATCATTGTTACTTAATTTAACCATTATTACTATAATCAGTATTATTACTACAATCATTGTTACTTAAAACTATCATTATCACTATTACTACCATTATCAGCATTATTTTCCCATTAACATTCCCGATACTCTCATTATTAAAATCATAATTATTACAATCACCATCATCATCATTACGACAATATTCCCAGCATAATCCCATAAAAGCCATGATCCCTAGAACAGATAAACACCAACAAACCCCATCTTCACTTACGTCCGTGGGAGGAGGAGGTGTCGACCGGCAGGGACAGCGTCGGCAGGTTGATAGGGGCCTTTTCCAGGGTATCGGCAGGGGGCGCTGGTGGGGGAAGGTCAGGGGGAGGCTCGCTGGGGAAGTCATCTGTGGCAGGGTATTCCTCAGCACCCTGTAGGAGACGAGGGTATAAGTACGCTGTTTCAGTGGGTGAAGAAGGGGGCACTTGTATGGAATCCGAACGTTGGGGGGGGGGGGGAAGAGGGAGGGACGAACTTGTTATTTTTATTTATTTTTTTCCTTTTGTCTTCGTGAAGGACTTTTGATTTTTTCTATTTTTTTCTATTAGTTTTTTCCTATTTTTTTAACGAAATCTATATAATTTTTTTCATATATCGTCAGCTGGATAGATTATTATTCTCTTTTTTTATGTGTTTCATTTTTTTTTTCAAAGGATCCGATTAATTTTATTGTTCATATGAGTGTGGGGAAAATAATGGGAAGGAGTGCACGTTTTTTTTAAATGAAATAAATCTTTATAGTTCATGAATGTAGTAAAAAGTTTATTTGAGTTTGTAAGAAATAACTGTGTGTGTGTGTGTGTGTGTGTGTGTGTGTGTGTGTGTGTGTGTGTGTGTGTGTGTGCGTGTGTGTGTATGTGTGTCTTTACGTCTATGTATCTCCATTTGTGTGTGTGTGTGTGCGTGTGTGTGTATGTGTGTCTTTACGTCTATGTATCTCCATTTGTGTGTGTGTGTGTGTGTGTGTGTGTGTGTGTGTGTGTGTGTGTGTGTGTGTGTGTGTGTGTGTGTGTGTGCGTGTGTGTGTGTGTGCGTGTGTGTGCGTGTGTGTGTGTGTGTGTGTGTGTGTGTGTGTGTGTGTGTGTGTGTGTGTGTGTGTGTGTGTGTGTGTGTGTGTGTGTGTGTGTGCGTGTATTTGCCTGTATATTTGCATCCACCGACTGTTATCTCAAACCTCATAAGCCATGCGAAAACCAGACATCCACTTAAAAGAAATCATTTTTGTTTAATGAACACTCCAGGAAACATATGAACACACAGTGACCAGGAAAAAAACTGTGAAACAATGCTTGCAAACAAATGTATTCAAGCACACAAAATGGACACACACAAAAGACATTTATACATTATGTGCAAACGTATGTTTAGCTTATGTAAAAATAAATATGTTTGTATGCATGTGTTTATGTATACATGTATGTAAATCCTACGCACATACACGTATTGTGTTGTATTTAGGGTTTAATGGCTATTGGGTATTGCAATTTAAAAGACTTCGAAGACATTAGCCTTTTTAATCTATCATGAATGGCGTTTTTTTTTGTTTGTTTTTTTGTAATGATAGCAGGGCTGTATAGCGGTTCCTCAGATCTTTGCCTCACGTTTATGGGTACCTAATTACTTTGTTGTAGTGATATTCAGAATATTCAGAATATTCAAATGTTATGCTTTTTAATATAACCTACATTCAGGTGAAATCCAGTGCTATCATACCTCAAATATATACCGGTTTTATGTCTCTATGCAGATGTTCGTATTCGTAACTGAAAATGGCCCGTTTCCATTCCTCTTAATTTTATCAACTTTTTTCTATTGTTGAATGGGTCTTCACTATCCCATTACAAATTCATATAAATTCTCAATACAAACATGATTAGATCCTCCGACGCCAGGAAATGTCTTTCCAGTCCATCAATTAGCGTCGATAGAAGAGGGAAATCTCAGCTATTTGATTAATCGTTTCTCCAGGGAACTGTATAGCCTAAAGACTCACAACACTCCCTTAATAGACGATGACCCATTGAGCTGATGCAGAGTCGGTACAACGGTGCATGCAAGGGCCTTGTAGAGTACTGGGACGTTTTCGCTGTTCTTTAATTGGTAAATAACACTTTGCATATATAAGTACTTTTAGATCTTTTATGCCCCTTGTACTGGCAAAATCGATATAGCATCAATCTACGCTGCCAATCAACAGTCGGCTCATATGGACAATGGTAAGCACAGCGCCAAAGGAACTAGCAAGAAAACGGCTGTTTGTGCTTGTAACATCAAACTGGCTGGTTAATGGAAGTCTTAACTCTTGAGAAACGTGATGTAAATACTAACAGACAAAAGAGCTTTGGTTTGAAGTCGAAGGACACCTTGTGTGTATTGCGAAGTCAGGTTTGTCAATGTGATGAAAATCTGATGTTGTAAGTGAACGAATGTGTCAGTAATTTGGTCCTGTTAAGGTGATGGAAAACATGCTGTGCACTATGTAATGTTAAAAAACGTAGTATTATTTCTTATGACTCTCCTAGATCAGAGATACATAATTGCATATGTGTGTATATATACATATATATGTATATATATATTTATATTTTTTTTACTGAGTCTCATATACAGGCATATCTAGAATAATGCCATAATTCTATATCAAGCATATCAGTCTATGATAGTATAAAATTTCATAAAAAAGGGATTGCTGTATTCTGCCATGTCATGTTTGACACAGGGGAGAGAGTCACGTGGCTAACTTCCAACAGCATTAACTTAGACATAAGCTATCACGTTACGGTAAAAGGTATGGCTGTACTATTTCAGGAAACACTGTAATGGCTCCTATGGTTAAGGTACAGTAATGTTTGCGCTACAGAGACACTACACACTGTATTATCTAAGGTTCTTGCTAAACCACATAGATCTTAGCTACTGCACTCTCCAGTCAGGATCATTTCTTTGCTACATAGCAACATGGTCTAATCTGGATTACATTTTTGTTTATTCGTGTTTATTTAACTACTTTTATCTCTTTAATCATGAAAGATTTTTATCTGGTCTCCTCTTTTACGTACGTAAAGAATTGAGATATAAAGAAATTAAGTATTACTGTTTTTTTTATGACTGATTCAGGATAGGTATATATATAGACAAAGAGTTAGAAAATGAAAACTAGGATTGTGACTTAAATCATGAAATGTAAATAATCTTTAACTTGCATTCAGTTTAAACAGACTCTATATAATGAATATATAATGCACACAAACATATTAGAAAAAAGCTTCATGTGAATTAAAAGAAAGCCATTTATTACACAAAAAATAACTGATAATCCTAATTATTTTAAGATAAATCGCATTTTTTTCCCTCAAATATAAACAAGCAATAGAACAAATTTACGAAAAAAATGCTATAAAAGATTAAAAAGCAAAATAATTTACAATTAGACTTAAAATCTTCATTTAAATTCTTTATTAAAAAAACGTGGAAAAAAAAACAAACATTCTGACCAAGAAAAGACCACGAAGATAGAGATTAAAAAAAAGAATATATATATAAAAGAAGACGAGAGAAGCACGGTCATAAAGCTCACATGCTTGGTAAAAATGCAGTTGAAGAAGTACATACATATTCCTCTCTTATTAAATCTTTCTTTATCATTGTATGGCTTCAGAGTATTGATCACTCTGACTGCTATAGCGACAACTCTCTGTGATGGAAAGTAAGGAATATTTTTTTTTGGAAAGAAAAGTAAATGAAAAGAACAAAAGAAAGAGAGAAAAAATAACTACAAAAGGGTCGAGGGAATAAAGCACAGCTTATTAAAGAGCCGGATAGAGAGAAGAATAAACAAACAAATAAATAAAATAAAAACACAGATCTCAGCTAAGCTTTCTTAATCTTTTTTTTTATAATAATAATGAGGGTGAAGGTGAATGTTTCCATTACATATATATATATACTGTTTATAAAAAATATATATAAATATATATATATAAAGGGTATAGACAAAAAAAAGCTCTGCAACTGTGGGGTTTCAAGCTATGGATCAAGCAGCTTGGGTATCAATTAGGCCTTATTGATGATGCGGATGAGGATGCCCACCTCGATGCTGTAATCGATGGAGGAGAAAGAAACTGGGGCAGCCATTTCTTCCTCGGTCTTGGCGGGAGAGATAAAAGGACTCAGCGTAGGTTACTCTTTTTTTTCGAGTGTCTTTTGAGATGAGGTGAAGAAGGCGGGAGGGGAAGGGAGGGTGAAAACGGCGTTGGGGTGAGAGGGGGGCAGAGGGGTGAAAACAGCGTGGGGTGAGAGAGGGGCGGGGGTGAGGGAGCGAGGGGTGGAGAGGGCAGGGGGTGAAAACGGCGTGGGGTGGAGAGGGCGTGGGGATGGGAGGGGGATAGAGAAAGAGAGACGTAGCTGGAAAAAGAGAGAGATGCATAGAGGGAGAGAGGAAAGAGGGGGGGGGAGAAGAGATGCAGAGAGGGATGGGAAGATGGAGATAGGAAGAGACGAGGTATGCAGGAATG